CGCAATGAACAGCAGAAGCCCAAGAACTGGGCCTAGGGTTTTGAATGGCATTCCTACTGCTCATTGTACCTGTTTCTCACCTGACAGTGGGAATGACAAAGGAATGACAGATGGCCACCAGGGTGAAACAGTTCACTGAAAACACTGGTCTGCTTATTATGGTGAGACAAACCTCATTGCATCCGAATGTGGCAGTGCATGTCTGTACTGGATAAGAACACACACACACACACACACACACACACACACACAGCACCACATCTTAAGATATTAACCAGGATTCCATGAGCTCACCAACCAGTGTTTAGTTTCCTGAATTATCTCATAAATGACTTTGTCATTTTGTTCCAATCAAAGTCCAAATAAAGTCCAGGTGTTACAGTGGACCACCTGGGGTTCAGGAGCCCTTCTGGTCTGTTACTACAGGATTGGCCAACTCTGCTAAAGAGGATCAAAGAGTAAATATCTGAGGTTTCCCACTTAAGCAAGTGAATACAGCTGTGTGCCCATAAAAACTGTGTCCAAATGTATACAGCTGCGTGCCTATTTTATCAGCGTAGGAAGGTTTGGGCCCCAGGATGTACTCCACCTATGCGATACAGGCGTGGCTGGATTCAGGCTTGATTCTGTGGGGAAAAACAAGCTAGGAGTAGCATGGAAGGCTTCCACCTGGGGTGGCTCGTGCTCTCCCTCTCCCCCCTCTCCCTCCCTTCTTTCCTCCTTCCTTCCCCTATTTGTTCAAGGCCTTCAGTGCCTAGATCCATGAAATCACCAAGCCCATGATATGTGAACAATCCTTCCTCATTTACTAGCTGCCTTACACCAATGAGGAGAAACTCAGCATTACAATTATTTGGTTATAGTTTGGAGATAGTACCAGAAAGTTAAGATAATAAATGCTCAATTTTTTTACTTTCTTTGCCAGCTCTTAAAAATACTCCATTGGGTTCCTCAGCACTCTTCAAAGTTAATCAATGTATTTTGGAAAAGAACATTCCGAATAAATAGGTTTCAACATAATTGCAATATTTTTGAGCCACTACAGTTATTGCTTGTCATGACATTTGAACTGTGCCAGTTTCGCCTCAGCTTGTGATAAGACCTTAGAAGGCTTTGAGAGCATCCTTGCTTTCTGACGTGGGGCGATGTTCGAGGTTGTCCCATTCCGTTTATTAAATCAGCCTTCCCCAAGCAGCCCTGGGTCTCTCTAGAGGGAAGTAATAGTTAAAAACCCTAATTTGAGAACTAAGGATGCCTGAAGTTTGTGAAGCTTTCCAATAAACATAACAAAGGAGTAGCCATTTACACAGCAGCAGACTTCAGGAATGCACAAGAACCTCCCTACAGAATAGTGGCAGGCAGCCTCACCTGGTGAGTCCAACAGACACAAAGTCAGGGACACAGAGCACAGTCACCAGTGTGGAATGCTGTCATGGGCCAGGGGAAGAAGGGTGAAGATTAAGAAATGTCCATTCAGTGAGCTGAATTTTGAGGGGGTTTTGAAAGGTGTGAGAGGGAGCGGGTGAAGGAGAAGGTTGATAGGGAATGTCAACAGCAACATCAAGCTTTCCAGAAGTTCACCAGAGACGGAAGGAGATACGAAGCTGTGACCTCCAAAGGTTAGATCAGGAAAAGTTGAAAATGTAAATAGGACATAAGAATGTGCATATGTTTATGAGCTGCTAAGGTGGATCGAGGAGGCAGGCAGAAAGTGGAGCTACAGAAGAGGGATGTGTCGGGGTGCTGTAGGCAGCTAAATTAGATAGAAATATTACAGGCAGTCAGACAGGGCCAGGTCCTCAAGGAGACAATATAGAAGCCATGGTGACTTTGCAACTTTTTTTTTTTTTTTGCAGAACTGGGGATTGGACTCAGATACTTGTGTTTGCCAGTCAAGCCCTTATCCTACTGAGCCATCTCCCTGGCCCCCAACTTTGCAACTTTGGAAGAGACAGATACTGCTTGCTGTGGGCCAGACCTCAAGACAAAAGAGTAAACAAATGTAGCCACATACTTCCCTAAGGATGGGCATCAGGGATTAATATTCTAAATAGTAATCAATCACCTCAAAAGAGCCCAAATGAGCCACTAACCCAACCCCAACAGGAAGAGACCCTGTCCCATATTCTTGCCCACTTGCTACATAACTTGCTTCCCCATTTGGTCCTGGATCTAATCAATTTACCTGAGCAGTGGTGCTTGTAATCTCATCGGTTGACCACATCAGGTCCCACGTAAGCGAGTTCCACCTTAGACCCTCCTCACTGCATGGTTTTACTCTATAAAAGTCTCTAGAAGAGACAGCTTCCTGGAGACAACCTGCTTGGGCCTCCCTTCTATCCCTCTTAGACAGAAGCTTTCTTTCCCAATAAATATTCTGCTCTTAACTTCCATTTGTTCCTAAAATTCATTCTTTGGTTTTAGAAAACATGAACTCGTTCAAGTACCTTTCAGGTCGTGGGTTTCATTTTCCCCCTATATCAGGGGCTGACTTTTCACTCTGAAAAGTCAGGCAGCTCCTGTAATAGACAAGAAGGAAGGATGCTCCTGGTCTAGTCCAGAGAAGAGCCATATCTCATTTAACCCTTACTTTCCAGCTGTGGGCACAGTGCCTGATACATAGGACATCTTAGCCGCATACTGAAAATGACCTAAGACACAGATGAAGAGAACAGAAAATAGTAGCTCTGGAAGTGGTGGTGTGACCCCCTTCAAAGTACCCCTTCATGGTAACTCTGAAGTGCTAGACTTCAGGACATGCACAGCCTAGCAGACCACATGCAGAAGCAGCCAGGGAATCCAGCAAGCTTACTAAGCCAGACATGTAAGGAGATTTGCAGATACAGAAAATAGTGCCACTGCTTTTGGTGCTTTCAGTGAAAAACAGTTTTCATTAACACGGTAGTGGGATTGCTGTGTCATATGTTTATTAGCGTTAATACATATTACACTGTACCACATAACTATGTTATTAAGTGTCTGTAATATTTCTGTTTGAATTACTGGTTAGTAGATATGGATAGGTGAAACCATGTAAAGAGTTCTGTGAGGCTCTTAAGAAATTTGAAGTGTAAACAGGCCCCAAGACCAGAAAGACTGAGAACTGCTGTTGTAAAAGGAACTCAGAGCTGGCAGTAAGAGCCAATAATCACCACCAGAACACATGGTGCTACAGTGTTCTGCTGATTGCTACACTCCCACAGGGCTTGGTTAGCTCCTAGAGCTAAAAAAAAAATGGCTAGTTGCTCACCTTCTGCTGTCCGGAGACAAGTTAAAGAGTGCAAGGAGTGATCAAAATATATGCTGAAGCTTGTATTTTTAAAAATTCACTATTGTGAAGAGCCCTGCCAAAATCATTCGGTTAGTACATCTGGCTGCTGGAACCCTTGTTTCCCAAAGCCAGGATCATGGTCCTGAGAGGGCATCCGAAAGACCATTTGTAAGGGCAAGAAGGTGACAGTCACTGAATGCTGTCACCTCAGCTCACATCACTAACCCATGAGACACCTCAGCCACTTTTTCGACCTGCACCTGCTCCTGTGTCCTGAGTCCCAATGCACCTGTTTCCCTGAAAACCAGAGCCAGCCTTTTGTGGGAAAGGCTGGAGAATGTTTGCATCACGTGGAATCTGGAATTTCAAGCACAAACTTTAATTAGACTAGAGTTTTACAAATTTCCCTTGTGACTTTTAACTATTAGAGAGAGCAAACACCTTTAATATTGAACATATATATCATGTGACCTCTGTGTCAAGGTCGTTAATAAATTCCATGTCTTTTTGCAAGGCTTAGAGCCTTCGTAGAGCTGTCTGATGTCTTTTGAACCCCTCAAGACTGGACATCAGGGAGGATAAGTAATCATTTCTTTAAAATTGTATTTCCTTTACAACCCTGAATAGGAAATGGGAATATATGAATGTAAAAGCTCAGGAATAATTTTGCAGATATATGGAGAATATCAATTTAGGTTTTACCCCAAGACCCAACTAGACTTTTCCTCTTCGTGTGGCTGGGGATTTGCTGAGTTTCGATTGAGTTTGGGGAAAACGTGATGTATGCTTAAAGTCTTCTGAAAATCAATAGAGTCAGAGATTTCTGACTCAGGGTCCTAGGATGCTAACTTTAGGGAGGCAGGAATAAAGGTGAAGTCTTCGCGGAAGTCAATGGAAGTTGCATGGAGAAAGGAAACTTGGCGTCCACCTGCTCACTGTTTGAAAATGGACTGTTTAAAAAAGCTGTGATAATTCAGCTGGAGGAGACAGAAAGATTCAGTAGAAATCGATGACAGTAGCTTCTGCAAATGTCCCTGTCACACACCCCGCGGTACCCAAAATAAATTAACCTTCCCTGCTTGCATTACTGAGCGCAGTCTCCAACTTAGGGTACATGGCTAAGCGGATATTAATTAGCTGATCCAGGGCGGGGAAGGGTCGTGGCAGCGGAGTCCATGTGGCAGTCCCGACCAGACAGTCACACACTGACCAGGTGGGCTGAGGGGACTCTGGGCGAAAAAGAGAGCGGAGCCCTTAGCAGGGTCCTGTCGGTGCAACTGAAGAGGTGGACCTTGAGGCAGCACCTCTTCAGGGATGAAGCCGTCTCCCGCAGGCAGCACCCCAGCCCTCCACCCAGCCTGGCGAAGCTCGCGCATCAGTTGCTCCCGCACCCCGAGACCCCCAGGTTGGCCTAGGCTCCTCCGCCCTACCCCCACGCGTGGGGTGGGGGAGGGCGGACGGGCGCAGGATAAGCAGCTGGGCACCAAAGGAGTGCGCCCAGCGAGGGGAGGCTTGGGCTCCAAATTGACCTTTACAGCCCCAGGCTGTCATCCGTGACCCCCAAGTCATCCTGCAGAACAAAGGGACACCCGCCGGTCCGGGGGCTTGCTCGGACCCTTGCTGCCCCTTTAAGGGTTCCCGAAACTTTTCCTCTGGTAGCAGATTAGCCTCGTCACATCCGCTGGCCGTGGCCTCCGGGGGCCGCGTTCTGAACAAAGTCAGGACCTGAGTTTCCCCGGGAAGTGAGGAGCACGGCACGGAACCAGCGCTTTCGTGGGGTGCGCGCCCGGGGGTACCCCGCACGCCCCAGACTCGGCCGCGGCAGCGGGGCGGGGCCGCGGCGCCAACTTGCTCAAGTTGGCTGCGCGCTGGGAGCCGCTCAGCGGTGGCTCCTCCCCGGCCTCCGCCCACCTCCGCCGCCCGTCCGGCCCGTGCGCGCCGCAGCACGCGCGCCCCGTCCGGACCCCGCTGCGGGGATGGGCGCGCTGGCCCGGGCGCTCCTGCTGCCCCTGGTAGCCCAGTGGCTGCTACTGCCCGCGGCCGCGACCCCCGCGCCCTTCACGCTGCCTCTCCGAGTGGCTATGGCGACGACTCACCCGGCCTCCCCAGCCCCGGTGCCCGGGACCCCCGCGTTGCCCCGTGCGGATGGTCTGGCGCTGGCCCTGGAGCCTGCCGGTGCTGCCGCCAACTTCTTGGCTATGGTGGACAATCTGCAGGGGGACTCCGGTCGCGGCTACTACCTGGAGATGCTGATCGGGACCCCGCCGCAGAAGGTAAGTGGGTGGGCGCCTCGCAGTCCCGGCGTCCCCTCGGGTGCTGCTTTGTAGGACTCGCGGCGGGGTTGGAGCGTCGCCTCGCCTCGCCAGCAGCTGCTGTCGCCGAAGAGCAGAGGAGCCCGGGGGCGCGTGGGTCGGGGGCGGGGCGCGCGCTCAGGAGGGCTCCGCGCTCCGCGTTCAGACTTGGCAGTGCGAGAGGAACCCTGGAGCGGTTCTGGGAGCTACACTTTATTCCAGCAAGGTACCCGGGCCTAGGGTGAGATGCTGTTGGAATAAGTGGGGGAAAGCCCCTGGGTTCCTCTTCTCTTAGCTTTCTCCCACGTTTTCTCTTGGCTAAGGCGGCTTGTGGCCGGCACCCTTAGAAGGGATGTGTCCGTGAGCTCAGCCAAAGCAGCCCGGCTCCAAAGTGGCGGGTTGGCCGCCGCCTGTACAGCAGCGAGTTGGATCGTGCGCGTCCTCCGCGCCGCCAGCTGCCCAGGCGCTCCACACGGTGCCGGGCGTCCACGCGCGTGAGGTTGGAAAGTAGAAAGCGCGCCCAAGCAACTGGGGTTAAATGCGGGCAGAGCCAGGCGATGACGAAACAGAAACGAAGCCCGGCAGTTTCCTTTTACCCTTATCGGATGTTCATTTTCTAGCACTTTTGATAGCAAGGAATGTGTGTCTCCAAGCGCAGTCATCTAAAAAAAGAAATTTCCAGGAGTTGCTCAGACCCCCTCCTCCCTGCAGACTTCCTAATCCACGTGCGATTTGAGGTCAGATTATCTCATCAGTCTCACACACCATTCGAAGAGCCTTTGTTTTTATTTTTAACATTGTCATTCGGGTTTTAATTCTGCTATGATTGTCCATAAATAGAATGTACTCATGACTTCTCTATAATTCTAATTAAATTATTCAACACCTTAAGAGGAAAGATATACCATGTTAATTTTTTTTTTTTTAAGGAATCTCTAGTGAATAACTTCTGTAGTTGCTTAATTGGTTTTTTTTTTTTTTTTTTTTTTCCTTCCAAAGTACATTATTCTGCCCCAAAGTTGGATTCTAGTTGCTCTGGTGGGAAACCGCGTGAGCCTTCTCTGCCCTCGCGGAGGAGGCTGGCAGCCGCAGGGCATCACAGTCAGCTGAGCAAGCTTACCGGACCCCAGCTGCCACCCCACGTGAGCACCCTTGTGCCCGCACACACAAGACCCACAGGACATTAGGAGAGTCTTCTACGTCCAGTGAAACCTTTTGGAACAGAGCTCCAGTGACTCCCCATTTGGGAGCTATGTGCTTTCGTAAAGCGAAGTTCCAGTTGGTTTTCTCAAGTGGAAGGGAATTGTGCCCTGCTGAATGAAGTGAGGCTGACTTGGCCACAGCCTGAGCCTTCCTTCCGAGGAGGAGGAGGAGGAAAGCTCCCATAGGAGTAAAAGATTTCTCTTGGCTTTCAAAAAAAACTTTCATAAGTAATAGCTTGCCTTTGCTGATTAATGCAGTGACCTGTACTTTAAAATGATGACATTTAAGTAATCTCATTAACAGGAACACACTGCATGCCTGTACCTATATCTTTATCTCAGTCGAGAAAAATTCAAGGCTGTCTTCCTCAGTGGAACAGTAGTGTATTCCACAGAAGGCTGGTTGTACCCAGCCAGGGTTCATTTGTACACAGGAGTGGGATATTCCACACCCGTGTCCTGGCCTGATTCCATGCTTTGCTGAGAAGTCCCTGACCATGCCATTTCTGAGAGCCCACTGCAAACCCTCAGGTGCTAGTGACCTCTGACCAATACTTTCGGTTTACTGCTCACCCACGCTGCTATCCTTGTAATGCCCTGACCAGCAATGGGGTGTTTGCAGTTGGTTTGACAAGGCAGCAGGGAGGTGACTTCCTGTGAGTTTCCCTGCACGGTTACTGGCCAGGAGTCATGCATTTATTCTCTGCTGAATCTCTGAAGCCTAAAATAAAAATTGCTTAGGTGGAGAGAAAAAGAAGATTGTAGAGTCAAGCAATAAATACCCAGGACATGTCCAGTAGTTCCTAGTGTGAATGAGTGTCTCCGCTCCAGGTGTTTGTGCCCTGGCTGCCCAACCTTCTTCTCCTTCTGAGGTTCTCCTGTGCACAGGGACCGGGGCTGAAGCTTAGCAACATTGACTGCCTTGGCAGGGCAACAGGGCCAGAAACGGAGTGCTGGAAGTGGATCTCCAGGAGCTGGACTCCAGAATCCTGGTTCTGAGCTCAAGGAAGGCTTCTGCTTTCTTCCTCCACTTACCTCTTACCTTTGCTTTGGTTTTGACTTCAAAATACCCTGGCACCTCTGAACCATAGGACTGCAGCTCCATCTCCTCTTTCATTTAGGGAAGTGCTTAAGGAGCAGCCCAGTGAATAGCTGAAGCCATACTAGGATGCTAGAGGAATAGGAGGCTCCTAAGGCACTGGAGCGCTGCTGGTCCCTCTGTCTGCTATGGAAGAACTGTGCTTTGGAAGTGTGCTTGTCCTCAGATGCTTTCATCAAGAACTGGGGGTCCATTGTTCTGCCAGCAGACTCTGTGCAAGCCACAGGCGTCTGCCCAGAAGCCTGAGTGTGAGCCACACGCCAGCAGGCAGGTCCACGTTGGCATGGAGATGAGAGCCCGGGGTGCACATGGATACCATTATGCGACTTCTTTCCAACAGGAGGACCAGCCTCTGCTGGAACCCTGCAATTTGGCCCGAGTAATAATAATAATGGTGTCCTCAGGTGATTATAATTATAGCAATTTCCATTATATCAAAAAATACTTTCATGCTAACACAGTAAACCCAACTGAAGATAGGAAAACTCTGCAGCTGTATACTTTAGAGTGGCTTCAAAGGAAATGGCTACTGGGGTTTCTGTTGAAAGACTGTCATCTCCCCAAGTGTGGATGGGCCTTACTGTTTTCATAGTTGAGCATTGGAATGCAAACAGCAAATAGATCATTTTGTTTCATGTACTTTGTTATCAGGCTCTTGGTGCACGCTGACCCAGAAGGCTTTGGGTTGGAAGCATGCGCTGAGCCTGGACAGTTTAGGAGGTGGTTATCTTCAGAATAAGCTGGCCAGGGAGCCCACATCATGCTGAGCTGGCCATAGAGTGGCTGGAGAAATGGAGGCAGCGTCTGCAAGGCAAGGTGTGAAGGAGCACACTGAGAAGGTAGATTGTTGAGGACGGTGGGCGCAGAGAAGATCCCGGGGTTGAAACAGCAAAGATGTGTAACTGCTTTGCCACCAGCACCATGGCGTGAGAGGCAGCCATTCCTGAGCTTTAGCAAAAGAATTCATCAGAGACTCAATGGCAGAGGACATGCAAGCAAGTCAAACTCCACACTCCCCATAGCATGGAGGGACAGAGCTGGAGAAGCAATGGACCCCAGCGTTACAGCTCCCTTTGCATCTCAAGTGTGGGTGAGAGGTGCCAACTTAGATTCTTTGCAGGGCCCAGTGCAAGGTGCATAGTGGCCATGTGCCCTGCCGCTTGGCCACGCCCCACCATGCAGCTCACCTTCTTGAGCTTTCCTGAGGTCTCATGGAGTGTACAGTTGTTTGACTTAATTACCAGACAAGGACACTGAACTCAGGAAGCCAGGTCATATGTCGGAAGCTATGCTGCCGAGGGGCAGAGTAGGGAGGTCCCCCCTGTTGCCCACAGCTCTGTGTGTGCCACTGTTTTCGTTACAATAATGTTTAAAAAGATCAGTCTTTATGTTTCTGTCAACAACTTGGTGCCACTAAACACTTCCTAGGCGTGGCAGTGTCAACACCTAGGACTGCAGTCTACTTTGGCCACCCTGAGCTTCGAAGCCTCACCCTGTAAGTTCTGTCTGCACTTACTTCCTCCAGTTGCTTGTAACAGTTGCCCCAAACTGAAGGCTTCAAATAATGTATTTGTTCAAGCTCAAATCCTGTAAGACACCTCACAAAGCCCTTAGCACATGACTCACACGAGCATCTAGGTCCGCAGTGTTGGCAGCATGTTTACTGGTGCCATGCGTTTAATCTCTAACCTGTGCTCATGCAGGCTGGATAGGATTCTCCCACTCCACGCAACTGCAGCTCCTTGGAACAAGTGCAAGAGGACAAGTGATGTGTTAAAATTTTAAGCAAGTCCTCTAATAAGGGAGCCAATAAGGAAAAACAGAAAAGTGTCCGAAACCTCCCTGCTCACTTAAAACCAAATCAGGGTATGAGGGGGCCAGGGAGATGGCTCAGTGGAATAAGCGCTTCCCTGGCAAGCGCAAGGGCCTGAGTTCAATCCCTGGTTCCGCCAAAAAAAAAAAAGAAAACACAAAACAAAATCAGGGTGTCAGCAGGAGGGTCCTCTCAGAGGACTCAAGAAGGAGCCTGCCTCGTCCATGCTTGGCCAGCTGTGTTCCCTGGCTCACAGCTCAGCCTCCACCTTTGTTTTCGTGTGAAGTCTTTACCCTGTGTCTCTCTGGCCAAATCCCCTCTGCCTTGTTTCTTCTGTTTTATTTTTCTTCATTTGTTCATATTTTGGGTTTTTGGGTTTTTTGAGACAAGGTGTTGCTATGTAGTCCACACTGGCCTTGCATTCTATGAGATTGTTTTTCTTTAATTCTTTTCCACTTTAAATCACCAGCAATTCCTATTTGGAACTCAAGTGCAATGTCCGCAAGAAGCAAGGAGCAGGGGTGATTTTGGTGTTGAGTTGATGTAGAGTCTGGTGAGATAGTGCCCAGGGGAGAGGGGACAGGAGAGATCGAGGAGGGAGGTTTCGGACACTTTTCTGTTTTTCCTTATTGGCTCCCTTATTAGAGGACTTGCTTAAAATTTTAACACATCACTTGTCCTCTTGCACTTGTTCCAAGGAGCTGCAGTTGCGTGGAGTGGGAGAATCCTATCCAGCCTGCATGAGCACAGGTTAGAGATTAAACGCATGGCACCAGTAAACATGCTGCCAACACTGCGGACCTAGATGCTCGTGTGAGTCATGTGTTAAGGGCTTTGTGAGGTGTCTGCCACCTTTCTGAGTTCAGCT